CTCGCCCGCCGGGAAAATGGCTGGCCGCCGGGAGGCTGGGGCGGAGCCGGCTGGGCGGGTGTGCGGGAGGTCAGTTTGTCCGCAGCGGCGTCACTGTTAGTGTGTGGGACAGGCCTGCTGTCACTTTCCGGTTCTTTCCCAACCATTCAGTTGTGACGAGGACGGTCAGCTCCCGGGAGCGTCCTCGACCCTGGCCCTGCGTAGGTTCCGGTTCTCGCCTCACTTCCGGGTCTCAGGAGGAAGTGGGTGGTTGACCGGGCAACCGCCTGGCGTCCCTTAACCCCTCCCTCCTCCGCCAAGTTTAAGTGAGGAGGCGAAAGGCGCCCTTGGTGTCAGTGCCCACGGCGCTGGGACGGGGCCGCTTTCTACAGAGTGTCGCTGGCCGCCCACTGTTAGGGGCCCTTCGCCTGCCCGCGGAGGGAGGGGTCTCCCAGCGACCGCTGTGCTGTTAGCTGCCCCGGGTCGGGGCGCAGACCTGGGACATAACGTGGACACAACGGCTATGCGGACACTACAGAGAGAACTTCTTGGGCCCATTCCCTGTTTTTCCAGACACGTCGTAAATCTAATGGTTTAGTTTCTAAGGAACCCACTTCTGGGGCGGCATGTTCAGGCCCTTAGCATGTTAAGATACTTAAATGTCTCTGTTTCGAATCTATAATTCTGTCTTCTGAACCCACAGTTGATAGGACTGGTCCATGTTAGGGGGAGGAGAATTAATGCTGATTGCTTACAGTGTGTCATATGCTGTGTCAAGTCTAGAACATTATCTCATGTATTCCTCACAGTAACCTTATGAAGTGAAAATTTACGGATAAATTAAAATGTACAGGGAGTTTAAGTAACTTGTTCAATTAGGTGGGGAGTGTTTGACTCCACACCCTGGCTACTTTGGGTGCCAGGCTTGTTTTTGAACTATTTTTATTTTCAAAGAAAAACTCTCCAAAGGTTTTTTTTTACAGACTTGGAGCACATACACACACAGTACATACATTGTAACCTAAAAATGATACACACCTGCTTAAGAATTGTATATTCAGCATTTTTAGTTTTTCCGATAACACTAAAGTTAGTAAAAGTTTTCACGTCTCTATAAAAACACATACCTATATTTGCCTTCACAAAAGTGAAGCTATTTTTTTTTTTCATTTTAATTGGGGAGGGACAATTTGTTACAAGGAAATCTTTCATCTTGACCATCTAGAATTGTCATTAGTAGCTCTGTTAACATGAGGAATAGTATTAGGCCTTAAATGATTGAGAGATCATAAAAAATTTTCAGCTGTGTTAAGATTGTGATTAGTTCCAAGATTAATATAAAAACGATCTAGTTTTGCCCTAGCCAGGTGGATGGAGTGTCAGCCTGAGAACTGAAGTGTCCCAGGTTGATTTAGGTCAAAGGCACGTGCCTGGGTTGCAGGCTCAGTCCCCAGTGGGAGGGGTGGGGGGAGGCATGCAGGAGGCAGCCGATCAATGGTTCTCTCATCATTTGTGTTTCTCTCTCTCTCTCCCTTCTTCTCCAAAATCAATAAAAATATTTTTTAAATAAATAAAATGATTTAGTTTTCACTCTGCATGTGCGTGCTGAGTTAAGCTTTCTGTTTTACATATATTAACCTTAAATACTTTTGTGTTTTTTAAAATTTATTTGCTAGTTTTCAAGTATTTTCTGATTCTGGATCTAATACTGCAATGTTTAGTGATACAAATTATGTAAGCAGTCAAAGAAATTTCCTAACTACTTGAGATACTTTATTAGAAATTACTCAGGAACCTTAAAAGTAACCATAAAAAGTTAAAAATAGAGAAATGAAGAAAGTATTATGATAATGAAGTATTTATTATGGGATTTGATTGTTAGAGAACCTCAATTTTTGTTCCAGTATTTTGTTCATAATTTCCTGGGTAAATAACCTTTGAGCTAAAATTTTATACTTAATTTCAGTGTCTTCCTTTCAACGTAGGAGAAAATTGAGCTAAAATTTAATACTTAATTTCAGTGTCTTCCTTTCAACGTAGGAGAAAATGCTTACTTGGTGAAGCCAGACATACAGATCTGGAAGAGTTAAAAGTCTGGGGTTGTTGCCCTACCTGGTTTGGCTCAGTGGATAGAGGACTGGCCTGAGGACCAAAGGGTCCCTGGTTCAATTCAGGTCAAGGGCACATACCTTGGTTGCAGGCTCCTCCCTGACTTGGGGCCACAGTCATGGCTCATGCAAGAGGCAACCAATCGATGTATTTCTCTCACATAGATGTTTCTCTCTGTCTTTCCCTCTCTTTTCCACTCTCCCTAAAAATCAATGAAAGAAAGTCTGGGGTTGTCTCTTGAGCTTCATTTTCTCTTCGTATGGAAGTGATGGCTTCCTCATGGGGTGCTGTGGGGATTAAATGAGAAAATCTTTATCACATAGACGTGTCTCAGTATTAGTTTCTTTCACTTCATAATTCAGGTGTCTTAAAAATGAGAATTTTTATCTTATGTATAGCTCTAGGTGTTCGTATGCTATAATTAGCTTCTAAGCCCTGATTATTAGATTATTAGATAAAGAATATTTGAAATAAGGTTCCCCTTTATTTTATTTATTTTTTAATATATTCTTATTGATTTCAGATAGGAAGGGAGAGGGAGAGAGAGATAGAAACATCAATCATGAGAGAGAATCATTGATCGGCTGCCTCTTGCACACCCCCTTCCGGGGGTCAAGTCCAGAACGGGCCATGTGCCCTTGACCGGAATTGAACCCCGGGACCCTTCAGTCCGCAGGCTGTAGCTCTATCAGCTGAGCCAAACTGGTTAGAGCTCCCCTTTATTTTTTTATTTTTATTTTTTATATATATATTTTAGCCCGCAACCAAGGCACATGCCCCTGACCAGAATCAAACCCGGGACCCTTCAGTCCGCAGGCCGACGCTCCATCCACTGAGCCAAACCAGTCAGGGCACCCCCTTTATTTTTAACCTTCAAATTTTGTGTGGTTTTTTGGGGGGCAGGGCGTGTACAGGAAAATATATAACTTCCTTATTTTTCCTGGAGGAAAATTAAGTTCTTAAGAAATCTACTTACATACCTACCTGGGCAAATGGGCATAGATAAGACCTTTGTTTAAAAGAATGCTATGCAGGTGTGAGGACCTCAGATGTGTAGTGCCACTTTGTCATATATCTGAGGTTAAAGAGTTGCCCCTCAATTGTGAGTACCTACAATTTTCAGGGAGTAGCTTCTTGCTTTGTATTACCTTACTGCAGACAGCCCCACTGTATGTATTTTACTCATCTAATATTTCTGTTCTTATCATTAGAATAATAATATTGGGATCTAAAACAGTGATCTGCTGTGTGTATGTGGTGTGATAAATTAGAGTTAATTTTTTGTTTCTCCATCTTTACTAAGACAGAACTCTTTCAAATAGTGTTAAATCTCATAAGGATTAAAAACAACAACAGATTTGAATAAAAACTAATCTTATGCAAATTTTGGTGATATCTGGTGCTATATTTTTTGTGTGACTCAGCTATTTTTAATTGATTGAATGTGTTCCAGGTGCTATACAATAACTAAATCAGCAATTCAAAAAAGCTTACTTAGAACCAACTGCTGAGTTATCTACAAAAATATAATGATCCAATGCTGACTTTACTGTAATTCTGTTAGTGGCTTAGTCAGTTGTTGCCAGAACATGAACCTAAACCTACTCTGGAAATAGTTTAGGTTTCAGAATTATCTCTTGTGGCAAAATAAACAAGCCATTAAAACTAACATGATGGGAAGCTAAGAGCTACTTCTGCCTGCTTTAAGGAAGTCCAGGGGTACGATAGGAAATTAAAGGTGTAGTGTCTCTCTGGAGTCATGCTTGTCATTGATTGAACTGTAAATCCTGCAAATGCAATTGGGCAGTAATCTGCAGCATAGTCCTTGAATTTCTTTAAGTTTTACAGCTAGAGTCTGGCCTGTAAATTTTATATACAGGATTTTTTTGAGATTCAAATGAAGTGTAGACTTCAAATATGGCAGTAGGTAAACTGTAAAGTGGTATACAGTGAACCTGACCACACAAAATACTTTTTTAAAAAAATTCTTGTTCGTGGATATTTTTTCCATTGATTCCTAGAGAGTGTGGAAGGGAGGAGAGAGACAGAGAGAGAGATTGAGAACTGGTGTGAGAAAAACATTGACGTGAGAGAGACATGTGGACTGATTGCCTCCCACATTTGTCCCTACTGGTGCTGGGGAACCTGCAACTGAGTTACCCTTGACCGGGAATCGAACCTGCAATCCTTAGGCCCTCAGGCCGACACTCTAACTGGTCAGGCCACATAAAATACTTTCGATTATTAGGTAGCCACACATTTTTTAAAAAATATATTTTTATTGATTTTAGAGAGGAAAGGAGAGGGAGACAGAGATAGAAACATCAATGATGAGAGAGAATCACTGATTGACTGCCTCTGCACACCCCCGACTGGGGATCAAGCCTGCAACCTGGGCATGTGCCCTTGATGGGAATTGAACCTGGGACCCTTCAGTCCGCAGGCCGACGCTCTATCCACTGAACAAGACTGGCTAGGGCACATTTTGTTTTTAATATTGATTAATGAATATTAGAGTTTTGTGTTCTCTTTTTTTTAATATATTTTTATTGATTTTTTACAGAGAGGAAGGGAGAGAGATAGAGAGCTAGAAACATCGATGAGAAAGAAACATCGATCAGCTGCCTCCTGCACATCTTCCTACTGGGGATGTGCCCGCAACCCAGGTACATGCCCTTGACCGGAATCGAACCTGGGACCTTTCAGTCCGCAGGCTGACGCTCTATCCACTGAGCCAAACCGGTTTCGGCTGTGTTCTCTTTTTTATTAGTTTATTTCTAAATATACTTTTATATTTGATAACATATGGTCTTTGTATGGGAACTAATGTATTTTTAATGTACACATACTAAAAAAGAATGTGGTCTTATGGTTTGAGTTCATTCTAACTTTTCCAATTCTGTGAAAGATAACTAACTTGAAAAATGCTGTATGTGCTAATACACAATAGCCTGATTTTTCCTTTTCTTTTTTAGAAACATTAAAGGAAATTGATGATGTCTATGAAAAATATAAGAAAGAAGATGATTCAAACCAGAAAAAACGCCTACAGCAGCATCTCCAGAGAGCATTAATCAATAGTCAAGAATTGGGAGATGAAAAAATTCAGATTGTCACACAAATGCTCGAATTGGTGGAAAATCGAGCAAGGCAAATGGAGCTTCATTCACAGTGTTTTCAGGATACTGCTGAAAGTGAACGAGTCTCAGATAAAGCAAAGATAGATGCCAGCCAACCAGAAAGATCTTCAAGGAGACCCAGAAGACAGCGAACCAGTGAGAGCCGTGACTTATGTCACATGACTAATGGCATTGAAGACTGTGATGATCAGCCACCTAAAGAAAAGAAATCCAAGTCCGCCAAGAAAAAGAAACGCTCCAAGGCCAAGCAGGAAAGGGAAACGTCACCTGTGGAGTTTGCAATAGATCCCAATGAACCTACATACTGTTTATGTAACCAAGTGTCTTATGGGGAGATGATCGGCTGTGATAATGAACAGTGTCCAATTGAGTGGTTTCACTTTTCATGTGTTTCACTTACCTACAAACCAAAGGGGAAATGGTATTGCCCAAAGTGCAGGGGAGATAATGAGAAAACAATGGACAAAAGTACTGAAAAGACAAAAAAGGATAGAAGATCGAGGTAGTAAAGGCCATCCACGTTTTAAAGGGTTATTTGTCTTTTATATAATTCTTTCAGAATTTACTTTCAGAAAATGTTTTAGGGTAAATGCATAAGACTATGCAATAATTTTTAATCATTAGTATTAATGATGTATTAAAAGTTGTTGTACTTTGTCTGTGACCTTACTTTTCTGCACTGAATTACCAAATATTTTGAACCAGGTAGTCTGTAGATCACTGGTGAAAGGAGCAGGGAAGAGGGAGAGGGTGGGGTGACCATTAGGAAAACTTCACAACCCATGCCTATTTCATTTTCACTTAAAATGTGATTCTATGTTTTGGGCTAACACCAAAGTTTTGCTGGCATTTTTTAAGTTCTACGTGCTTAAAAAATGTTAGATAATAGTTGGAGTTCTCTGCAAGCATTACAGTTATCCTGGGTGATTTAAATGTGAGCACTATATACCGTTTAGAGCTTTCTCCCTGACCCCGTTTACACATACACTTGTTCATCTCTAGTCTTCCTAGGATTTAAGGAATTAGAGATGGTAACTTGGGATTCCATGTGGAATAATGTGCTCTTATTAGAGCGTTTGCTGCTGTCTTTTCATGGAGTAGCATTTTGATACACGGTTAGAGGCCCATTTATAAATGCTTTGCTGCTGCTGCTTAGACACAACCAATCTAATGCTTAATAAGGGACCTGTGTTTTGTTTTAATTGGGACAGGTAAGAGTGGTTAGAATGCCAAAAATGCTGTCACTGACTTATATTGGCAAAATTGGGGTTATGTAGTATGGTTCAAGGTTGAGCAATGAAAAAAAAATCAATCCTATTTAATATTTTCTACGTTGACCCACCGTTGGGAAGCCTAGACCCAGGCCTCTCGCTGGGCAAAGGGCATATACTTGTCTTTAAATATTGCCTTCATGTCAAACAGTAGCTTAAATAGTTTTGCTAGTGGCTATAGTTCATTGCTGTCCCAATGAGTGATTATATATTATTTTAAGTAACAGTGCATTTACTTCCTTAAGTTTCTGGTATTGGTGCTGTTGATGCCTTCACATTTAATTAGCTAACTATAACAATGCAATTAATAATGTGCTTGTAAACAGAATTTTCCAAAATCCTAATATTTTAAGGGTAAGGGATGTATGTCCATATATTCAGAGAATTTTTTGGGGGGTGGCAGGGGGCAGCAGATTGACTAGCCCTTATATTTATGTTTAACATACTTTTTATTCCTCATTCCTAATCTGATGATCTTGATTTTTTTTTGATTAACGTGAAAAATTCTGTCTGCTTGTTTGGAAAAAAAATTGTTTTTTTTCTTCTAGCTCTCCTGTGTGACTTTTAGGCATGTCCTCCCACCTCAGCTGGGTGTCAGGTTATTCGTGTGCACGTAATAGGAGGTTGGCTTAAATATCCCCAAGGTTCTTTGGAAATCTTCAGTATTTTCACTGTAGTGAGGATTTTAATAATCACATGACTTGTTTTTCTCTTTCATTAATTTTGTCCTTCGTTTTGAGGTATGAAGATATTTATTATTTTTCTTTTTTTTCTCTTAGTCTTTATTGTTGAAAGTAATACATAGGTCCTCCTTTTTCTGAAGACACTTTAAAGGCAAGCTTAGAGACAGGTAAATGCACAATATTTTATTAACTTCTGTCCTAAGGATATTGATTGGTGACTAGAGTTCATTATATTCCTGAACAAGGAATATTAGTATGATTAAGATTTTATTTTATTGTAACTTGTTGAGTTTTAAAATCCTTTTCTCTCTCGAGAATATAGCATTTTGTCTTAATAATTACATCCTTGTTACCAGGATAGAGCTATTTACCTGATATCATTAAAAATATGAGTATGTGCAAAGCCCCCAAAAGCTTTTAAATGTGACTTACACAGGATTCAACACTTTTTCTTTCTTTCTTTTTAAAAGGAATACATTTTTATTGATTTCAGAGAGGGAGAGAGAGAAACATCAATGATGTGAGAGAATCATTCATTGATCAGCTGCCTCCTGCATGCCCCTTACTGGGGATTGAGCCTGCAACCTGGACATGTGTCCTTGACCAGAATCGAACCCAGGACCCTTCAGTCTGCAGGCCGATGCTTTAGCCAGTGAGCCAAACCGGCTAGGTCAATCAACACTTTTTAATACATAAATTTGATTAGGCATATCAGTAAATAATAAACTTCCAAATAGAAGTGCCCAAGTTTGAATTAGTTTTGACAGGAAAACAAATGTAGAAAATCGTGAAAGATGTGCTCTCTTGAAGACCTAACGTTTGAAACAGTTTTATTTTCATGAATTTCTTTTTGTTTTCTATACCTAAAAGGAATAGAAGCCTTAAGTTAGCATAACATTATGACTGGCATTTTTTAATGTATTATATATTTCATATCTTTTTTAAAAAATATTTTTATTGATTTCAGAGAGAGGAAAGGAGAGGGAGAAAGAGATAGAAACAGCAATGAGAGAATCACTGATTGGCTGCCTCCTACACGCCCCACACTGGGGATCGAGCCCACAACCTGGGCGTGTGCCCTGACCAGGAATCACACCATGACCTCCTGGATCATAGGTCCACGCTCAACCACTGAGCCGCACCGACCGGGCTAGATTTTAGCTCTTATGTCATGCTTACCAATGCATACCATATACCAGTGGTTCCCAAACTTAACTCACAATGGAATTACCTTGAGAGCTTCAAAACATACTGGTACTTGTGTCCCACCCCCAGCAATTGTGATTTAATTCATTTAAAATGTGGCTTAAGTATTAGAATTTTAAAAAGGTCCCCAGATGCTTCTCATGTACAGAAATGTTGTAGAACCAGCTGTCATATTTTGGAAATTTGAACCTATTGAAGACTGCTGGTGGGTTCTCTACATCTAGATTTTTATGTGACAAACATAAGTGCTGGTACATACAAAGAATTGTCCCTGCCCCCAACAGTTCCACCAACAACACCTGAAGCCTCAATGCTCGATGCTTGTGTGCTAGACACCGAGCAGTGGTGGTGTCAGAGAGGAGAAGGTCCCTGCTCGTGGACCGTACATTCTGGCGGGAGAGCCAGATGTCTGTCTGTCAGGGAGCTGGCAGTGCTGAGAGGGAAGTCCAGCACAGAAAGAAAGTGGGAAGGCAGGCAGACAAAGATTTAGGGGAGGGAGGAGTAGGACCAGCATCTGACTGTGGGAGGGGCTAGGAGATGTTGACTCTTGGAAGCCAGGGTAGGAAATTGGGAAAGCGTCCATGTTCTTTAAAGATCACTCTGGACACAACATAGAAAATTTATTGTAGGGAGCCTGGTGAAGAGAGATTCTGGAGACTCAAGTCTTGCACCAAAAATATTGCTGGCTTAGACGAGGGTGGTGGGAGGGCTGAGTGGTAGGGTTCTGCCTGTGTTGCGAAGGTCCAGCCATCAGGAGGACTGGCCCATGGAGTTGGGGGCTGATGTTGGGGGCAGGGACAGAAGATCAGCATTTCTGAGTTAGCCTGGGAAAGGAGTTTAGTCATGTGACTGAAATCACTCCTGTAAGTAGAGTCGTGCTGCTCAAATTTTAATCTGCCTGTGAGTCACCGTTTTTTAACTGCAGATTCATTCAGGAGGTCTGGCATGGGGCCTGAGAAGCTAGACTTCTCACAGCCCCTCAGTGAGCTGATGCTGTGGTGCAGGGACCCACATTGTGAGCAGCAACCATGTCGACCCAGAAAGGGGGTGCAGGGGCCTTGTGGTACTACAGCATTTAAAATGGGGAGGGGCCCAGCCAGCGTGGCTCTGGTTGAGCATCGACCTGTGAACCAGGAGTGCACGGTTCAATTCCTGGTCAGGGCACGTGCCTGGGTTGCAGGCTCAATCCCCAGGGTGGGGCATGCAGGAGGCAGCCAATCAATAATTCTTTCTCATCATTGATGTTTCTATCTCTCCCTCTCCCTTCCTCTTGAAATCAATAAAAATATATTTAAAAATAAAGCAGGAAGGAGCCAGCCAAGGAGACTTTGAGATCTCTCAGGGAGGCAAGCCAGAAAAATGTGGCACATCAGAAACAAAAGTGAGCCCAGACGGTGTGGCTCAGTGGTTGAGTATCAACCTATGAACCAGGAGATCACAGGTTCGATTCTCGGTCAGGGTACATGCTCAGGTTGTTGGCTCGATCCCTGAGGCAGCCAATCAATGATTCCCTTCCTCTCTGAAATCAATAAAACAATATATTTTTTAAAAAAAACAAAAATGAAGGAAGTTTCCAGAAGAGTGATTTCAAGTTCTGTCCAGTAAGAAGAGGATAGTGAATTAACCGTGAGACTGGCGGATTGTTAAATTTAACAGAATGCAAGTTGAGGGGATAAAAGACTGGACTGGAGAGAAAGGGATTGAAGCAGAGTCAGCAAATGGACTCGAGTTTTCATGTATACGGAGGGATACATGAAATAGCTGAGCTAAGGAAAGGTTTTAATGTGTAAGGAGATAAGACAGCATGCTCATATGCCGACTGGAATATTGCATCAGGAGGGGACAGATGCTTGTAGTAGGGAGGAGTGGATTATTGTAGGAGTGAAATCTGAGCAGGCAGACGAGAAGCGAGAGCCAGGACTCCTGACCGGTTAGTCCCCACAGGGACATGGTCAGTTCCAGTTCATGTCTCAAAAGGGAATGCGGTGCTTTGACTCATTTATTCAAATATTTATTCCATAGGTATTATTACAAAGCGCCATTTTGAGTACTGGGGATAAAGCAGTGACCAAAACAAGACAAAAGCCTGTAGCCTCGAGGTACTTGCAGTGAATGGGAGTAAAGGCAGGCAGCCTGCTATATTTGGTATTAGGGAAATGAGATCATTCTCTTCGAATAGCTACACTTTCCCAGGGAAGGGCCGGGCGGGGATGGCCTGTCAGAAGTCTCCAGGAGGGGAGAGGTGTGTGACTCGCTGACAGCAGCAAAGTGAATGGACTAGGAGTGCCAGTCAGAACTGGAGGTCAGCTGGAGTCTTTGGTCATAACTTCAAATGAACTGGTAACTCATCCTGTTGCCTGGATGCAGGCATGAAAAAAGAGTACAAAACCTCTTAACATTTCAAAATCTCTACAGCAAGCCAGAAAAACGGCAGCTCCCAGCCCTTCTCATATACCCGGTAGGTGGCTTCCCTGAGAGATTGGACCTCATTTCCCCCATTGAAA